GCCTGACCCCATCAGTGCCGACCCAACTACACCACCACGCGCATGCCTCGCGGCGGATATGCGCAGCAGCAAGAAGGTTTCGGTCATCCCTTGAGGGTGAGTCTAGCCCTGCTCGCCAGAAAGACCCCCCCCTTCACTACAACCCATGTCTAAGCAAAAAAAGCTTGTCGAGGAGCGAGGGGAAAAAGGGAGGACCCGTACTTGGCGTGTTTCACGGCGGTGCCCACCTTCGCAGATACTCAATCCCAGACTGACGAGCTAGTTCTTCTCGACGACGACTACACCATGGACGCGGACGACCCGGACGACAAGATACGCGGAATGGAGGTCCCGGACGGCTTTCGCATTCAACAATCCAAACCCGCTACTCTTGACAGTTCGCTTTTGCAACGTGGGGTGCGCATAAGGCTGGGCATGGGGTGGTTTGGTGCGTTGATCACTCGGCAATCTCAGCTGCGCACCCGCCACCTGTACGACTACCGCGTGCAGCTGGAGCTAGACTAGAGTAGGCGTTAGTAGAGCGGGAAGGGTATTACGCGCCAACGTGACCCATGTCGACCAAGAAGGTTGAGAAGTGTATCAGGCATGAGCATGTTTGCACAGCAGTTGTGCCTCTTGCAAGATCCACCTAAGAATGTGTCATATACCTACCTACGGAGGACTCGATGTTGAAATAAGAACAAGAACCCCCGATTTTGGCGACGGGTGCCTGGTCGAAATATGAACATGGCAAAATAGGAACAGGTGCTCGGGTTGCGGCAGCCACTAAGCCTTGAGGGATACGCAAAATAAGCGGTTCTTAAGTGCGGGCCGCAACTGTCTACGTCTAGATGCAACTCCGTGTACATGGAAGGTAAACGGTCAGGTTGTGTAGTAGTCTTTACTACCCAAAAAGCCCGCTGACTCGCACATTTTGCTGTGGCCATTGTTGTTTTGGTTGTTGGTGTTGGTGTCGGTGCTGTTGTTGTTGTTGTCGTTGTTGTCGTGGTTGTTGTCTGGGTGGTTTCGAGGTCTAACACACACACATAAAGTCGACGCCTTCTGGGTGGTTTCGAGGTCCAACACACGCACAGTCGGAGCCTCGATCGATCCTTCCCTGTTTGGGTGGTTCTGATGGCCAGCACACACACAGTCGAAGCCTTTTGGGAGGTTACGAGGGCCAAGAGGGCCAACACACGCACAGTCCAAGCTTTCGCTTTTGGAGCCGGGGCACTCAATACATACACATACAAGCGGGTCTGTGATAACACGCAAGAGGCATGCGCTCTACGTGTCCCAAGCGTCCACGATGGGAGTCTCGGGGATTCAACATGGGAACACGGGCACCGGTACGGCACAGCTACGAACGCGCCCGGTGTTGAGCCTACTCATCACCCCAGCCATTCGCCTTCATGCCGTCCAAGATCGCTCTGAATGTAGTACGTTCCTTGGGCTCCCCACACCAACAGGCCTTGGCGATGTCCACGATGTCGGCAGGAGCGCCTACATGGAACGAAGGCCGGATCCCCCTCAACACCGCCGTCAGTACCTCGCTAGGACGCGTCTTGTTCGCCCATGGTAGTTCCCTGGAGAGCACCTCCCACACCACGATCCCGAAGCTATATACATCGCTCTCGTAGGAGCTTTTTTCCGAGTCGAGCACCTGCGGATGTACCACAAAATGCCCCTTTCAGAATCGGCGGGAGGGGGGTTGAATATGATCGGCAGAACACCGCCCCCTCCGGCGCCAACGGCTTGCTTTATGATATTCGCCGTTTCCAAAACAGCCGTGCATACATGTCGGCCTAGTCAACACACTATCATCAACAACCATGGCATCAAGCCATTGGGCAGTGCTGCTGAATGCTCGGTGCAAGAAAATGACTCGGTCTTAAGGAAGAGCATGTTCAACTAATGGGAAAACAGCGGGGGGGGCATCATATTGCTATTGTATCCCTGCCCACCAAGACAAGATATCCCATAATTTCGCATGTGTGTCACAAACTAACATAGCTTGAGACCTCCAAATGATAGCGTGTATTGTTGAGGGCGCAAAATGTGTAGGTTGGGAGAGAGAGCTGTCGTGTGATTCAGACGTCAGGCGGCGAGGCACATAAACGGAAGGCTCTGAAACGCATGTCGCGCGATCTTTCAAGGAGAGAAGAGAAATGGAATCGATCTGTTGGTTGCGTTGATACTGATACCGTACTAGATTTCCCCCTTCCGCGACTTCCGCAACTACCGAAACTCTTCCAGATCTCCGTGAAACTTCGATCGACGCCCCAGCATACAGCAACCTCTTGATCAAATTGAAAACTAGCAAACTGTCCGACCCGGCGATGCTAGTATTGTAGAGGAAGGGCCATGGTGGTACCACAAGATACGAGGGCTCCCCCACATATCTGACTTGACAAGAGTGTTGCAGTGCGAGGTGGGTTACCTGGAATCCGAACCGACAAGAGTCCCTCGTGTTCGGTGGAAGACAGCATAAAGCAACACACTGATTATGTGATTTCAGTATCTCACGTCGACCCCAAGGGACTGAATCAAGTACTAAGCCATCTTTCGAGTCCGTGAATCAGTTTAGACACGCACATGGAAGATTAGCATTTGCGACCCACACCGATTTTATGGTGAGCGGTGAGTGGTGAACAAACTTAACGACACCGGAGATCCCACGAAGACTTAATCGAGCTTCACAAAGGCAAGCTCCGGCGAAGTGGACACGATCGGCCAAAATCGCCGTTACACGGCAAAAATGGCTCGCTGGAACCCAACCCGAAAAGAGGTACGCAAACTTCGTACCTCAGGTGCGCTCCAGGCGATGCTCATCTGGGTGGTTTGGCTTGATTTGGTGGTGTACGTTGTCAGACCGGTGGAGTTAATGGTCTGTGTCCACCTGGACGTGCCGAAGTCCGCGATCTGCAAATCCGCGGTACGAAAAAAACGAAACAGCGTATTGCACAAGTTCAATTTCTCGGAAGATCGTAGTCTACAAGGTTTCACGCCGACCAGCATACGCGGTTTTTGGTACATCTAGCAAAGTGTGTTTGGTGGTTTGAAATTTTGTGCCGAAGGGACCGGGGCACTCGGCAGCGTACGGAAGCCTGTATCGAGCTACCCGTACCTAGTATTTTGTCCCAGGCAAATCGTACCGGCTTTTATCGAACGCCCCACAGCGTTTGGTAGGGTGTAAAAGCGTGTACCGACCATACTCAAAAGTGTTCCGTGGTGTATGGAACTCAAGACCAGTATTCGACACGGCACCCAGGTGGCATGGTGCTTCCGGTCAACAAGAAAGAAACACCCCGTGTTCAATGTTGTGCCGGATGGGTCTCGACGCCAATAACGTACGAAAAACTCAACTCAACTCGCGCTTTCCGACAGAGTGCGCATGTGCAAGACGGGAAAGACAAACTGTATTGGCGAGAGCAAGTTGTGATGCTATCGGCGACAAAGAGCACAGCAGCGCAGAGAGCGTGGGGCAGACCCGAACTTGAACAAACCCCCAAGACCAACAGTATAACCTTGGCCCTGCCGATGTCATCCAGAAGTACGTTGGCCGACTTGAGGTCGCCGTGGACGGTGTTCTTGCTGTGCAGGAAAGCCATGCCGGTGCAGATGTCTCGGATGATAAGCCTTGACTGCTCCTCGGGGAGTGCCTTCTTAGACTTCCTCAGCAACGTGAGGAGATCTCCGCCCGCGAGCAGCTCCATGACGAGCACCATACGGTCCGGTAAAGAGGTCACTGCTCCGAAGACGTTGACCGTGTTGAGGCTCCGAAGGCGGATCATGGCTTCCAGCTCCCGCAAAAACGCTCTGCGCTCTCTCGTTTCCCGCTGCTTTTGGTTCTCGTCAAGGGCGCCTACGTCGTGAGCGATATACAGCACCTGTGTTGGGTTCCAAAGCCGCAGCCGCAAAATGGTCATTTCATGTGAGCAACTTGGGCTCAAAAACAAAACATTCAAACACCAACGAAGACGAAGACTAATTGTGGTGGCCATCCGCGAGGGACCTATCGCAGCTCGTGTTGGAACAGGCTCTGATCTACTTAGGTATACGTCATGGGGTTTGTACGAAGGTTATGCGTTTTGGGCCCAGAGCCATCGAACCTGACGAGGAATGCGGCTCGTTGTGCCATGAGTCGTCATCGATTAACCCGGTGTATTATAGGCAAGGACGGCAGTTTCCAGCACATCGAGTGTTAAGGGTCTCGTCGTGCCTGATGGTAGATTGTCTCGATGGTACTATCATTCTGATATCTTCTAACTTTTGGGTCCATTTGAGAGGTGGGGTTGGACACCCGTTGTGGCACGACTTAACGCCATTCAGCAATACCACTTCACGATGGCTATCGTTCAAGATTACGAGTCAGTTCCACACCTTCGCCGCTGCATTGTGGCCGTTGTAGTCGGCCAGGTACACTTCGCCGAAGCCTCCCTTTCCCAACAGTTCGTCTGTGATGGACAAGTATTCCGCGGGAATCTCAACTCGGTCAAGCTTGCGTTGCCGCTTGATGCGACGAGCCTTCGCCACGGACTCGGATGCAGCCTCCGAGAGGGAGAGCTGCCAAAAAGAAGGCCACACGACGGCAGCACAACGTGGAAATAGAACGAGGTCATCAGGTACGCCCAAACTGCTCATATACCGGGATTCAAGCTACTCATTGAATGCAAGATCGGTAACCTAGGTCGCTTGCGCCAAATAGCCAACTCACCTGATACAGGTCCATCCCGTCCTTCACTGAGTTAAAGCTGTCCTTGACTGCGCTGACATCATCCTTGACTGCGCCCACGTCTTGTCCAACTTGCAGCTGAAGCCCCAACTGGATGGCGGCAAGCAGAAACCGAGGGCGATGATGACGTTAGCCTTCAGCCAGTTTGGAGAGGAAGTACACCCGAGAGATCTACACGCCTCATGTTGCGCAAGTGCGTGACCCGTACTGGTCGCCCGTCAACACTCTGCGCAGCAGGGTACAATAGCCCGCTTATGGCAATATCACAGGTAAGGCCCAAAAGCTGAAGACTTCGCTCACCTGCAGACGCATGATTGCTTGGTCCACTACGGCATCTAGCTCCTCTTGGCGCCGTTTGAACAGCGTCGACATAAACAACCTCGAAAGCTTGGTCTTGCTTTGGTAAGTTTTGATTAGCTGCACGAGATCGAAGATGGCCCCGTGCACGTCTTCAATCATCCCACGCGCTACACTCCCGATCGTGTCTCCGCCCTGGAGAAGGAGAAGATTCCGTGAAAAGAGGCCACACGGCAGGGCCACGGTTGCGCACAGTTATGACACCCATGAACGAAATCTCAAAAGACCTGTATTACATTTGTGTTACTCGCCGAGCAGAATGTGAAATTCTCCCAACATCAGCTCCGCAAGATACTTCAAACAGATGGAAGTGTTGTCAACTCATCGTGAAAAGAGGCCACACGGCAGGGCAGCGGTTGCGCACAGTTATGATACTTCTAGCCATGAACGAAATGCAAAGGCCCGTACGTTCGCGTTCTCTTTGGTGAAAGTGGGAGAGTTCGTCTAACTCGCCAACGCACGAAATCTCACACAGCCAAAGTGTTGTCAACTCACCTTGTCGGCAACCTTTGCCGCCCGCTTAAGCGCCATAACGACTGTGCTGCACTGCCGAAGTCTTGATTGACTCGCCCTGGCGTTGTCGCGGCTATCCGTCACCAGGTTCGCCATCATGCACACCGCTGTCGCCGCCTCGCTGACGCCAGGGATCTGGCAATGATGCGCCAGCTCTTGGGCTGCCGCCAAAACGACGCGGCCAAGCCCGATGTCGGCCGAGTTTTGGTGGTCAGCCGCCGAGGAGGCCCCGGTGCCGCCGCCTGAGGCTTCTTCGGGTTTGGGTTCGCCGGAGACTGGCGCGGCTACGACGCGTTCGCGTTCTCTTTGGTGAAATTGGGAGAGTTCGTCCCGTTCAGCTGTCGACAGGTTGGCAGTGGAAGTTGTAGCGGTGATAGCAGTGGTGGCCGCCACGAACTTCTCCGCTGAGCCATCGCTGGTGAGCCGAGCACCACAACCTTCGGCGGCATTCTCGGCATGTTCAGCGCTCGGCTGCACCTGGCCGTCCAGTGCGGCCGGTGCCGATGGCGGGACGATGCCTCCACTGTCGACCGCGTCAACCTCCGCCGGCGTGTGTCCAAAAAGCGATGCGTTGCGCTGGTGGGAAGGCGAATGATCGTTTCCATCGCCTACGGCAACCACTGCTGGATATGAAGGGGGGCGGACGTCCGGCGGCTCTTCCCGGCCTTGCTCGACGTTGTCGTCGTCGTGGGTGGGAGGAACCGGAACCGCGGACGTGAGAGTCATTTTCTGGTTCGAGCCTCGGCGCCGCTTTAATAATACGGCAAGCGTGATGAGGGCCACACCAGCAACGGCGGAAACTATCCCCGCTACGATAGGTGTAGAGCCCGAAGCCGACCCTTGTTCCGAGGGAGTAGTTACAGGACTGATGGTTGAGGTGATGCCGAAAGAAGGAGCAGATGTTGGGGGCGGTGAAGCTGCTGCGAGTGACAGAGCAGGCGCGGCAGCCGGCACCGGGGGTGTTAAAGCAGACGGTCAAATCGGTTGTATCGAACGGGGTATGGTGGCGCCTGCGGCGAGCGTCAAAAACCCGTAGGTGTAGGGGAAAATGCAAGAAATGCCCATCCAGATCCAGAATTTACCACACACGTGTTCGTCGTTTGCTGAATTCAGAATCGAAAAAAAGAAGACTAGAAATTCCAGGAGCTGTCCAAATCCGGTCTTTAAGAGACTGATCAAGTTTTGCATCTGATACCGGCAGTAAAGAACCCAACAGAGCTTTTCTCGTTTGATGTTTTGTTATTGAAGGACGGATGAACAAAAACACTCTACAACACTCAATGTGGGCAGATGAGCCTGGATATGGGATCCTTGTATTGAGTAAAAGCGAGAACCCGAACTCGCACCCGGAGACGGTGTATCCTCTTGAAGGGATATCAATGCTAGTTTGTCAGCGGTTTGATGGTACATTTTTATGGAAACACCGGAATTTTTGACGGGAAAAAATGATGCACACGAGGGAGAGTTGCACCATCAACTGGCAGCTGAAGGCACACCTTCGGGAAATGACCGACCGGGAATTGGTTGTGTTCACGCTTGCAACCAACGGTTCAAACGTTTCTTTGCAGTGGTTTGCCAGGCACACAACCAAGCCACAAAAAGGACGCCGAGAGAGGGTATCAACCCACAGACTTATAGTCTATCGAAGTTTGATGTGTTCATGAGTTCGTGCGTAGTATTTCTCTGTTCGTTGTCCGCTCGTGGTGTGTGGAACGTTGTTAACCCGTCGGCATATCTGTGTCCTCTATCTTGCCGGACGCTGGAAATAGCCGTTTGTCAACGTAGAAAAGAGGGTAATTACATGCAACAGTCCTGCGGGCAATGTGCGAAGTAGTAGGGTCACACGTTCTCCCCGGTCACAATAGGAGAGAGAGAGGTACACATCTCATCCGCAACAAAAGCACACGCCCCTCGCGTAGTCATGAGTTTATGCGTTTGGTGTTTATCTGCTCGTTGTCCGTTCGTGGTGTTGGCACATACATGAGGAATCGACGAGCAGAGATGAATGGGCATCACACGAAAAAAAAGGCGACCGATCATCCACCCAGCAAACATCTATGTCGAGGCTTCACATACTCGAATGTTAAACCCTACATATTCGTAAAATACCCCGAGTGCCCGTAAATTGTCTAATGGCCAAGTACCCATGGAAAAAATAGACAATGTTGACGCGCACCTGTTGGAGCCGCAGCAGGAGCTGGTGTAGGAGTCGGAATATTTGGTGAGGGTTCGATGGGGGAAGGAGAAGGGGAGAGAGTGATGCAGTTGCAAGTAGATTGTTCCTCAATCTCAAATTCATCAGGAGTGTCGTCCAGACACTTCCAGGAGAGAACTGCCGAGGGGTGTACTTCGGCCACGTCCTGTAAATTGTTGTCGTAGCACACTTTCGAATGGCTTTGGTCTTCGGAGTCAAAAACTCCCACGGTCCAGACCTGGAAACGGGGGAAAAACGTGCCCGTCAAATAAATGGGGGTGGACCAGCCAAACGCACACGTGCTACCGCAGGTTAAAGGTGTCACCTATCGCGAGGTGAAGGTCCAAGCCACGGGCTTCGTAACTGCTAGTTTCTGTATGACGAGTAGGTACAGTGCTGCATAGGCTCGTTCCTAGAATGATGGGTGGATACCATTAATCAGACCAAGTGCCGTGGAATGCTTANGGGGGGGGGGGGGGGGGGGGGGGGGGGGGGGGGGGGGGGGGGGGGGGGGGGGTAGAGGCGCTGCGGTGCTGAGAGAGGAACGAAGTGTGTCCGGAGATGCGAGGGAGTGAGAGCGATGCCACGGGGGCGAGCCATACTCCTCTCTTGAGGAGAGCACACACAACAGCGTTTTAAGTACTAATCATACGCTCTCTGTATACTACATACGACAAACATTCGATACGAACGGGAGAACGGACATTCCAACAGCACCGTCACGTCCAGGCCAGCAAGTTACTGTAGTTGACGAGGCTTTGTTCCATGTACAAGAAAAAACTGAGGTGGCGCAGCGTTGCGTTTTCGAAACAATGCACTGCTGCCGTCTTCTTCAAAGTTCAAAATAAACGTTCGGCACGGTCGCAGATAGTCCGCGACGCGCGTAGTAAATTGCATATATGAGAGTTTGCTTATCGATGGCAAACACAAACACATATAGTGGGAGTTTCCGACAATAGGCTCGCTCATACAGAACTTACGAGACTGTCGGTGAAACTTGAAGTCGCCCAGAACACCATAGAACCGTCGACTTGCTCATCACCCTTCAACGTGAAGACTCGAACGTCGTTTGCTTCATCTCCGTCAGGTTCAACGGCATAGCAGCCGCTCAGGGTGGCATCGAGGACCGTATCCGAAGCATCGAAATAAAACGAATCGTCATCACCCGAGCAGGCAGCAGTCACAAAATGTCGTCGCCTACTTGAAGTCGCGGCCAAGATTGTTAAGAACAGGCAGGCCAGCTTCATCTTGCGCCCTTGGCCGATTAGGCCGTTCGCGATGCACTTCGTGCACACTCTGCTATATTTCGCGCACTCACTTCCGTTACATCGGCAATCGAAGAAGAAAGTTACGAGGAACAAGAAGACGACTGAGGAATTATGTCAATGGCGATGTGAATGAAGGCTTGTCAAGTGTAACAGCTAGATTGGAGGGCCCCAGATTGGAGTAGAGGGCAGGTTTACGCGCGTGTGTGTGTGTGTGTTGTGTGTTGATTGGTATGTGTCTGCGCTGGTGAGAGAGAGAGAGTACACAAACATGGCATACAGCAGTGTAGTTTACAGATTGGCGCTGCAGCAACCAACTTAGCGCAGCAGCAGCAGCAGCAGCAGCACCTCTAAATATGTTGATACTGATGTCCGAGCGAGGGCACACACAGTAATAGAATTGGCTGTACACTGCTGCTGTACCTGTCAATCTTTCCTTTCTGCGCACTCTACGTGCACGTTTTCGTTATCATCCCCCGGCCTACTAGCCCGGGCTGTTCAAAAACAAATTATCCGTATCATCGATTCGTGTGATCAATAAAACACCTCTAGGTGGCAGGTTCTTGGAAGGTTCCTCGCTCCGACACCCCGAAACCCCAGTTTCAATTACAGAACGCGCCCGCACTTAAGAACCTCCTATTTTGGGCGAGGCTCGCGGCCAATATTTGTTTTTGGTTTTCGACAACCAGTATAAAGGTTTTAGTGTAAGGTTCTTATATTTTGAAACGTTTGAGGCTCAAGTTCTTAATACCCAAGTTCTTAAGTGCGGGTGCGTTCTGTATCCTTACAAAACCATTTTAACACAACTTGAGCCCCTCTTTTGCAATTTTTGCTCAATTTTGGTTCGGGGTAACCTACATAGGGAAAATTGTAAGCACAACTAGGCTCTCGGAGACATGCTATTAATATTATTCCATTCGCCATCCGACAATTTGTGTCAGTGATTTACGGAACGTCCAACGAAAAAAAAGCTCACCTGTTTCAAGGTCTTCCTGACTCTCACCCAGTAGCACACTCGACTTGCAAGGGCGCTGGACGCACGGTGATTCTGGACCCCTTCTTGTACAAAAGGTACACACGAGCTTTCCTTCAGCTGCCTCTGTGTGTGCGTGACATGGAACGGGCGCGAATCACTCGATGAGTAATGATCTGTGTGTGTATCTGTTGTGTTGTTAATTTTTCGCTTCGTCGACAGCAGTCGTAGTAGTTATTTTTGCCGTGGCTGCCTTCATGTGTCTGCATGCGTACGGCCCGGGGTGTGTCATGTGTCGAGTGGACACAATGGGCTCCATATGTGTACCTCTTCCTATGCGACATGTCGCTTGCGACGTCTGACTGGGGCTTTAGTTCTCCTTTCTTTTGTGTTTATTGTTTTCTTTCGCATTGTGCTGATTTTTCTGGGTCCTTTATTTGCTAAATTACTCTATTAGATTTTTTCATATACTCCGGAGTATACCTCTTTGGGTAGTTAGCCTGTGACACACGGAAGGCGTCCGCGTCGGTTTGGACCTGTGCGGACGTAGAAGGCACTGAGCAGAGATCGGAACGGTTTTTAATTGTGAGACAACAACAACGACGGTGAAAAGAGCGCAAGAATATGCAGAACGCGACCCTTGAAAAAAACGGTTGCTATACAGGCTGACCTTCGGGTCCCTTTTATTTCAGAGTATCTTTTTAGGGTAAGTTAGCCTATGACCACGGGAATCGACCGAGTCAAGTGCTGAAATAGTACGGACAAATGAAGGTACTGCATAGAGAGACCGGAACGGCTTTAATGTGAAGTCAACACACACACATACACAGCACCAAACATGCATGCATAACCAGGCCATCTTATCAGAAACGCGCCGAACTTCACCGGCGCTACCACGAGCGTTCCATCTCGCAAACTCGTAACCTCTCCACGTGTCAGCGGCGGGCACCGATGCCACAAAGCGCGGGAAAAAAGCGCAAACGAATGCACAACGCAACCCCGGAAAAAAAAAAGTGCGACACAGAGCACCACAATGCATGGGCAAACAAGTTAAGTTCTCAGCCACGCGCGACTTCACCGGAGTTGCCACGTGCGTCCCATCTTGCAAACTCGTAATCTCTCCACCTGTCTGCGGCGCGCACGGCGCGCGCGGGTCTCCCTCGCATGTTCTCACATTTGCAGTTTGAAGAAACGCGGTCGAACGTGGATCCTGTTGTCCTCTTCGTTTGGCACCGCTTCTCTCTCTATGTAGTTCCCTCCGCTCTCTATGGGGGATTTGTCGACGTGGCAGCGAACACAAAAAATGCTTGTAAACAGGGTAAATACGCTTTCCTGTCGGCCAACTCTCTCGCGTTTGAGTGGTGTGGTGTACGACTATAGGCCGCGAATAACCTGTAGCTTGCTGGCACGTGCAAACGATGCCACAAAGCGCTGCGGCTTGGTTACACCCTCACCCACCACACGAGGGCATGTTCTGTCGCCCATGAAAAAGGCGATCAAGGTAAAAAACCGCAACAATGTGCAGAACGCGACCCGGAAAATGAAACAAACGTCGCGGCACAGAGCACCAAAATGCACGGGCAAACAAGTCAAGTGCTAAGGCCACTCCGCACCGAACTTCACCGGGATTGCCGCGTGCGTCCCATCTCGTAGACCCGTAATCCTCCGCGTGTCCGCGGCGGGCACAGATGCCAGAAAGCGCCGCGGCACACACTCTACCGGCGCCCGGGAATCTGCCAACATTGGCAGGAACGAATTCCGTGCCAACACGAAAAACGCCTGCAGAACCTACTTACAGAACCAGATATCAATTTCAAAAAAGGGTTAGCACAGCAAGTACAGCTCTTCCCTCTTCCCAAAGGCTAATACGAAGCAGCACTTAGCAGCGGACCCGTAGTGGTTAACCCCAAGGGATCTACGAGGCTGGGCACCGCCAGTAGCATGGATGCAGCTGCAAGTGCTGCTGCACGTGCTGCTGCCAGCCTTCCGAGCTCGGCTTCGTTGCCGCCTTGCGAGACGGGCGATAGTGGCGCCCCGGTGACCACCTCGTTAGCCACAGCAGCGTCGAGTGCAGTCTCGGATGAAAGTGGTGCACCCACGACCTCGCTAGGCTTGACGTGGAGTGATACTGATGCGCCTATGGTGATAGATGACGAGGCAGCGCCTTACAACGGCAACTCAGCAGCAACACGTGTGAAGCGGTGTCGCGAAAGGCTGTCGCGTGCGTAGCCTGGCTGGCTGTGCCTAGGCCGGTGGCTGTGCGTAGGATGGCTGCGTACTGCGTACACAGCTGTACTTGCTGTGCTTACCCTTTTTTGAAATTGATATCTGGTGCTGTAAGTAGGTTCTGCAGGCGTTTTTTGTGTTGGCACGGAATTCGTTCCTGCCAATGTTGGCAGATTCCCGGGCGCCGCACACTCTACCGCCCAAAAAAACGGTGACCCCGGAAAATGCAAAAAAAGGTGCGCAACAGAGCACCAATATGCATTGGGCAAATAAGTCAAGTTGTGAGGCCACCCGCCGAACATCACCAGGGTTGCCGCATGCGTTCCATCTCGCAAACCCGTAACCCCCCCACGTGTCTGCGGCGCGCACCGATGCCGCAAAGCGCCGCGGCTTGGTTATACCCTTACGCACCACACAGGCTGTTCTACCGCCCCATTACGGGAAAAAAGCGCCAACCGAATGCAGAACGCAACCCCGGAAAAAGGAAAAAAGGTGCGACACAAGAGCACCAAAATACATGGGCAAACAAGTCAAGTTGTCAGGCCACAAGCCGAACTTCACCGGGGCCACCACGTGCGTGCCATCTCGCAAACTCGTAATCTGACCACCTGTCTGCGGCGCACACCGATGCCTCAAAGGGCTGCGGCACACCTTCACCCACCACAAGAGATCTGTTCTACCACCCATGAAAACCGTGAACCCGGAAAAAAAAAAAAAGGTGCACCACAGAGCGCCAATATGCATGAGCAAACATTGTCAAGCTGTGAGGACTCGCCGGACATCATCAGGGTTGCTGCGCGCGTCCCATCTCGCAAAATTGAAATTTCTCCACGTTGTTGCGGCGCGCACAGATGCCATAAAAGCGCTGCGGATTGGTTAAACCCGCACCACATGGGAATGTTCTCCTACCTCAACACGATAAAAAAGTGCGAACGAATGCAGAACTCGACCCCGGAAAAAAAAAAGTGCGACACAGAGCATCAAGTTGACTTCACATTAAACCGTATGCCAGTTGCAAAATGCCAAAATCTAGCAAAGACTCTCGGCCCGTGGTCACGAAAGTGCTGGAGCCATCTGAGGATCTAAAGAACACGCACACGTAGCAAGAAAAAGGTGTACAAGAGCCCGAAGAGGTACTACTACACCTATATATAATCCCTGCAGCACCGTACGCGTGCCCAAAACTGAACTACACGTCCGTCTCACCGTTCGACTACAGCAACATCACCCCCTACTTGTCCCACTCTGTACCAAAACGAATGATTGCCGACTACAGCATACTTGCTGTCTGAAGTGCTGTCTGTACAAAAACACCATGGTAGGC